GAAGACATAATCTTTCAATCAGTTTAATTGAAGTCTGGAGCTGGCATGTCAGTTAACTGCTAGTAGTCTGTTGTTATTTATGTATTATTGTCATTTTGTTTGTTTTCTTTGGTTACATCTTCTGACATCAGACTTGGACTTCTCTTGAACTGAATTTTAATGTGCGTATTGTTATGCGTTTACTTTTCTACATTGGCTAGAGGTATAGGGGGAGGGTTGAGATCTCATAAACATGTTTAACCCCGCCGCATTTTTGCGCCTGTCCCAAGTCAGGAGCCTCTAGCCTTTGTTAGTCTTGTATTATTTTTAATTTTAGTTTCTTGTGTACAATTTGGAGTTTAGTATGGCGTTCATTATCACTGAACTAGTATATATATTTGTTTAGGGGCCAGCTGAGGGACGCCTCCGGGTGCGGGAATTTCTCGCTGCATTGAAGACCTGTTGGTGACCTTCTGCTGTTGTCTGTTCTATGGATGGGTTGTTGTCTCTTTGACACATTCCCCATTTCCATTCTCAATTTTATCTTTATTTTACTCTTTTAGGTTTTAAATGATCACGTTAATTTATAACAGAACTGTGTTTTAACATTATTATGAAAAGTCTCTGTTTAAGAACTCATCAGTGTATAGTGCTTTCATTATGGTTATGATGACTGATTTCGGATGAATATGTTGTATAATGCAAACAAAAACTGTGTTTTAAAGTTGTAATTAAAAGTCTCTTTTAAATAAATCTATTGTTTTATACTATTTACAGGTATTTACCTGTATTATTGGCGCAAATGAAATGTTTTACTTTGGCGTAAATGAAATATGGTTTGTGGCGCAAATGAAATGCAAATTGGTGCAAAAGCAAAGCACCGATAAAAAGTGCTCGCAATACTTCCAAAATTTAAAGTGATTTAAGGGAAAGGTTGAGCAAACATTTAACGTGCAATAATTGATTGCATGGCTTTTCTCCCTTTAACATGTTTAAAGCTGGATAATATTTTCAAAAGCATATTATTTTTCACATCAGCAAAGAAAGAGTTAAAAAAACTTCTACACAACTTTTTAAATATTTCATTTAAAATCAATTTCTTGGGACTAATCTGTACCTGTCCCCTACCTTCTAGTCGTTCAAACAAAAATATTTTTCTAATTCATCTAAAAAAATTATCAAATACAGTTAAATATCTTTTAAATCAGTGAAGAAAAAGTTATTTACGATTATACTTGAAATCACCTTTAATAATGATTGAATACAAAAAATGGCTAATTAACTCTTGAAAAATTGTTCTTTTTTTATACACCTTAAGCTGGGTTGTGTCAACATTATCTGTTTTATAACATTTAGATTTATATGTTGAAGTTTTTGTTGTGATTTTGTATTATAATGTGAACTTGCTTTTTAAAAGGTTTGAAATTTTTCGTTATTTTCTGAAAAGTGACCCTTTCCTTCGCAATTAACCTGATAAATAATTATGATGAATATCTAAAAGAGAGGTTAAAAAAGGACATAATCAATTTCAGATTAATGTGTTATTACACAATAGACTAATAACATGTCTTGAATCATTTTAATATCTATATCTCAGATTACCATGTACACATATCAATATTTAAAGTTCAGTTTGTCAAATGTTGGTCAAAGCATTAAATTTATATCTAAAATTCACACATGCCAGAAAGTAACCTGTTTTAATTTGCTATGCATCTCAATATCTATAAGTTAATCCAGAATCCCTCCAGATTTCATTTCTGAACCAGGAAATTGTATTCAAATTTTAATATGCATTAAAATTGTAGTCTAAATTCAGTACATGAATACCCTATATTCATTCCCAAAAGCCATTCAAAACATTGATAAGTCACACATTTAGTTTGCAGGAGGTTTAAAAAGATCATTTACTTTTATTGTAAAAGATCAACAACTAAGATATGTGGAAACTTTTAAGTTAGAAGTAGGTCTTCAGTATTATCATTTATATCAATGAATGTAAAAGTCTAGGAGAAAAGTCAAATTACCTACAACAAATTTAATAATTAATTTTTGCATCAAGTACTGAATACTAATAAGTTTGTCATAGGAAACAATTTCTAAAAAATGAAACAAAATTTGAAGAGTACAAAAGCTGAGTACAAGATCAACAATAAGTTTAAGAGTGTTAAGTTGCTTTTACATTCACATGATGCTTTTTTGTATTCCATAATAAATGTCTATAGAGTGTGGCATATATCTAGTATGCAAAATGATAAGTCAAGTACATTTCTGTGGTATATTTATTGACATTTTTAAATATAGTGAAATCTAGGTGTTTTCAATTTCTTTTGGTGTATGTTGTTTCACAGAAATATTTTTCCGATACATGAAATAGGTTTGAGGCTCATCTTTTGATACATGAAAATAGGTTTGTGGCTCATCTTCTGATACATAAAATAGGTTTGTGGCTCATCTTCTGATACATGGAATAGATTTGTGGCTCATCTTCCACTAGAAATAGGGAGATTATCTCCTGCTAGACATAGGGAGATTTACAACTTTCAAGGTGGGAAAAGTTTGACACCAAAGTAATCAGTTTAGATATAAATATTGGTATTGTTGTATATACTGCAATAAATTAAACCTATTTAGATAAATTATTATATATGCAATGTTATGATAAAACATTAAAAGGAAATGGTTAGGAAATGTCAAGTATTTTTTTCAAAACCACATGGATATGTCATTTAAAGTTCCATTTCCTGAGCATTTGGCTGATATTAAACCATACTTAAAAAAAATAAAATGCTCCGCTGGACGCAGCTTGATACAACCGCAGAGGTCGAACCCTGAACTGTTGGGGCAAGTATGGACACAATATTCAAGCTTGATACAGCACTGAATTTGGATTGTGATTGAATATTTGACACAGCATAGGTTTCTGACACAGGATGAATGTGGTCTAAGAACTTAAAATTTTTTAAATTTACCTATTCAAACCATATCATTATTATTTGCTTTTATATATAAATCAGAAATAACCAATTGAAAATGGAAAATTTTAAAGTAAAAAAAGGAAAAAAAAAATCCGCCCTCAAATTTTTTGAACCCCTTTTGATTCATCACCCCCAAACTCAATCCCAGCCTTCCCTTTGTGTTACAATGTATGGTGCCTTGCAGTACAATTTCAGAGAGATCCGTACACTTGAACACAAGTTTTTGTCTGGAAACTAGAAAAATGCTTGTTTTGTTGCCCCTTTTTGGCCCCAAATTCCTAAACATTTAGGGCGATTACCCCCAAACTTAAACCCAGCTTTCCCTTTGTGATATGGAACCTTGTTGTACAATTTCATAAAGATCCATACACTTACACACAAGTTATTGTCCTGAAACTAGAAAAATGCTTGTTTTTTTGCCCCTTTTTGGCCCCTAATTCCTAAACGTTTTGGGCAATTACCCCCAAACTCAATTCCAGCTTTCCCTTTTTAATATGGAACCTTGTAGTATAATTTCAGAAAGATCCATAAACTTACACACAAGTTATTGTCATGAAACTAGAAAAATGCTAGTTAATTGCCCCTTTTTTGGCCCTTCATTCCTAAAATTTGGAGGCAATTACCCCCAAAATCAATCCCAGCATTCCTTTTGTGATATGGAACCTTGTGGTACAATGTCAGAGAGATCCATACACTAACACACAAGTTATGTCTGGAAGTTACAAAAATGCTTATTTTTGGCCCCTAATTCCTTAACTGTTGGTACAATAACCCCCAAAATCAATCTCAACCTTCCTTTTGTGGTATTGAACCTTGTGGTAAAATTTCATAGAGATCCATTCACTTAAACTAAAGTCAGAGTGCGAAAACCAGTGTGTCTTCGGACGACGACGACGACTACAACGACGCCAACGCCATACCAATATACGACCACAAATTTTTTTTTGTGGTCGTATAAAAATGGAGAATGTTTCCATGGGACACAGATGATGCCCCCGCTTGCATATAAGGTTATAAAGGGGAATAACTCGAGAACGATAAAAAAGAAACCACCCAAATTCGAACTTGATCTGTGTTTTGTGGTAATAAGCATTGTGTGTAAGTTTCATAACATTTGGTTGGTGGCAATTTTTGGGTTAGCAATATATTTTCAAGTTTGACTATCAGCAATAAGCTTTACTTTTCTTTCTATAATTATTAGACTAGCTAAATACTTTAAGCAAAAAGCATTATTTCTGAAGATTATTACTAACTACATAATGAGTCTAAGGCAAAAAGCATTATTTCAGAAGAATAATCATCATTCAAGACAACCGTGAGTGAGATACTGTAAACGAGGGTATTTTCACTGATTTTGTCATCACATTAAATGTCAGAAAATATCCATCACATCAAAAATAGGTCTTAATTAAGGGCGCATTTACCTTCAATCAATGTGCAAAATTCACTAAACCCTTGTGCAAAAAGTTAATGCAATAAAATCCTGAAAATTTCCACATTTACAGTGTTAATCTTTTTCTTTCTAAATTCGATAAATGTATGCATAGTGACTATTGGATTAGTTTTTCCTTAAAGCAATAAAATCTCAAAAAGACATATAGGACCAAGTTTTTTAGTACTGTCCCATCTGTCACGTTGGTCTGAACTGTATTAAAAATCTGTGTCACAGTATGGCTCATTTCAAAATTAGGACTGTGCCAAATGTAAAGGAAAAAATATCTTATCATGGATATTATGAAAAAAGGATATTCTAACTAATAGAGTTTTGAAACTGATGACTATGCAGCCCTCTTTGGCAACTGCAAAGATCAAAGGCCATAAAATAATCTTTCATCTGTGCAAAGTGAATAAAATGGTTGCTCAATCAAGTGACTCAATCACCCTCAACCAGAAATTAAGCCTTGAAAAAGGGGCAATACTATGGATAACGGATAATACCATTTTTGGGACCCTTCAGGTGACATTTTTATTTATTCATGGTTCTACTTTCTTAAGTTGAGTATTATTTATTGTTATGTTATATAAAAAAATTCTAAACTTTACCTGTCATGGCTGATAAGCAGTTATCATGCATAACCTGTATTTTGCATGGCACCAAATTCTGAAATTAAACATGCAAAATGTTATCAAGGAAAAAAACATGCATTTCTAACTATTAGCATAATTAGTAGATCAAAATATATGACTATCAGAGTTGTAATAAAATTTCACCTTCCAAAGCTGATGCTATAAACTAGATTAGTTTATTGTCTTCTACAAACCATTAATAAAACATTTCTTATATAAAATCATGTTGCTACAGCAATCCAATTATACCAGTGTGCCTGGGTTACATATTATGCCTATTAGCAGAGTTTGCACTAAATCTAAGCTTAGAAGCAAAATGCAGATTAACCAATCTATTGCAGGCTTAAATCATAAAAAGGAAGACTAAAAGATCAAAGGCGAATGAATTGCTCACATATTTGATTAAATATCAAGTTAGTTTGTGGAAGGGGTTTAACCCTGAAACTTATGAAACTTATGAACACTAGTTACTATGCATTCATGCAATATCACCGTGGACAGTTATATTGGTGGAAAAACCATATTGTCTGAGTTAAAACCACTTTATAAGTATTTGACAAAATCTAAAGGCTCTATGGCAATGGCTATTATAGATTAATACAGATAAAAACCCATAGACCATTCAGTCAAAATTGTGTTTAGTAATGCAGCATATTCTTAGTAATCATGGGTAATGAATTGCCAGTATATTTCAACACATCTAAAATAAACTGCTTCGCTGAGCGCAGCTGGATACGCCCGCAGAGGTCCAACCCTGAACAGTTGGGGCAAAAATGGACACAATATTCAAGCTTGATACAGGTCTGAATTTGGATTGTAATTAAATATTTGATATATTATAGGTTTCTGAATAAATGTAGTCAAAGAACTTGAAATTGGTTATATGAAAGATTTCTTGCTGTTTGTGCAATACACTGTGCTGTTGTGTAATACTTAGTAAATCTGTTGTCAGACTATAAACAAATAAAATCTTATAACTCGGAAACATAAAATCGAAAATTTACAAACATCAAAAGGGAGCTTACAAAAATAGATACAAACAATTTACCAAAGTTTCAGTAAAAATACTTATAGCATTTTTGAGTTATTGTCCGAAAACTGGAAAATCCCCCTATTTGTAATGAATAAAACCTCATAAATCGGAAACGTATAGTCTGAAAATTATAAAAATCAAAAGGGAGCTCATGTCGATAGAAATAAACAATTCACCAAAGTTTCTTGCAAATTGGTGAAATTGTTTTTGAGTTATTGTCTGAAAACTGGAAAATCCCCCTTTTTTAATGAATAAAACCCCAAAACTCGGAAATGGTAAATCCGAAATTTATAAAAAACGAAAGGTAGCTCACGTCAATAGATATGAACAATTCACAAAATTTTCATGCAACTTGGTGAAACTGTGTTTGAGTTATTGGCCAAAAACTGGAAAATCCCCCCTTTTTTAATGAATAAAACCCAAAAACTCGGAAACGGTAATCCGAAATTTATAAAAAACGAAAGGGAGCTTAGATCAATAAATATGAACATTTCACAAAAGTTTCATGCAAATCGGTGAAATTGTTTGTGAGTTATTGTCCAAAAACTGGAAAATCCCCCCTTTTTTAGTGAATAAAACCCCGGAACTCGGAAATGGTAAATCTGAAATTTATAAAAAACGAAAGGGAGCTCACGTCAATAGATATAAACAATTTCTTAAAGTTTCATGCATATTGGTTTAAGTGTTTTTGAATTAATGTCCGACATGTTGACAACAGACGGACGGAAAGACGGACAGACAGTCAACGGTATACCATAATATTATTAATCGAATATTTTTAAGGATTTGTGATTCGTTAAAACTTGATCACATGTACATTTGTATTTGCTCAGTTTACACGCCAATACTGTTGTGTTTAGCTTTTTGTAGGTCAAAAACAGCATATTGCACAGGGCATACAGCATGTTACTAAAAATAGATTCTAGAAATCCCCAATTTTACATTGTCCATGCTATAGTTGTTGATTAATAATATAACAATTGTAGCCTTTGGTTGAGGTCAATACGATGTTATATCGACCCAGAGAAGCATATCGACCTCGGACTTCGTCCTCAGTCAATATGCTTCTCTTAGGTCGATATAACCTTGTATCGACCTCATACAAAGGCTATAATTGTATAATACGTCCCGTAAACCTGCATATAAAAAAATCAGTTTGAGGTCAAATGTAGATTTGAAAAGTTTAAATTCTCTTATATAGCTATTATAAATCATTGCCATAAAAAATTTAGTTTAGTGGAAGGTTGTCTCATTGGCAATCATACCACATCTTATTTCTATAGTTATTATTTGCTCAGCAATTTTAGAGAAGAATATTCCAAAGGATTAAAGATTGTGAGACAATGACAAACAACAGATGCTAAGAGATGTTAATAATTTAAATTCATGATGGTCCTTAATGAGGGAGGCTATAACCAGTACAACATCTATAAATATTTAAGGCAGCTATAATTACTTTCTAAATGATATGTTTAATTACAGTAAAGCTAGATCTCTGAAATGTATCTTACAATGTTTGTACTCTTCATAAATACCATGCAACAGTGATAGTAAGGAGAATCAGTGAATTCAATAACAATTATCTTTCACGTGATTATCATAAAGTTCTGGGAGTTTTGTAAAAACAAGAAAGGTGCAATGATTACCAATAGACGACTTTCAAATTTATGCGTTTTCCTGTACATTTCTTATATCACAATGGTTTTGTTATTACATCACAATGAGAACCGATTACTCAATGATGTCTTTTACACCGATTGACCAAGGTGTTTTACTCATTTATAAAAAATCAACTTGAGATTCGTCTATGAGACAATTATCCACCAAAAGACCAAACAACAAAGATGTCATCAACAAAAGACTCCAGAAAATCCAATGAAATCTTAAGGCCGAAAGCAGCAACAAATTGAACTTCTCCTCTTACAATGGCAAAACTGATTCATTTCGACATGCATATGATAGTAGCCAATAATTTTGTTTGTCCTCTAAGTCTGTTCTTTAAAATGTTCATTATGCTGTTAAAGAAACGATCATGGGACTAACCACACATATGAAATAACCAGACTTGAGAGTATCTGATTGAGTAACTTTAGCAATATTTTTTATGAGAGGTGTATTTCAAATAGACAAACACAAAGGTAAACTATTTAGTTACTTTTTGCATGCATGGGTGTCATTTGCAAATGAAATTATCATTATAAAAATATTTGTAATTAATGTAACACAAATTAATTAAAAAAAAAACAACTATATTTTATGTACTTAACAAGAAATGATTGTAACAGGATGCTGTTACGAAGTCTCCCAAACGAAGCTCCCATAATTCGTAAATCCCATGGTCGCCTGAAATTGGGCAAAGTCCAATGAAAATTGGTTTGGTCCAGTAAAGTTATATGCATTAGTGATGCCTGGGGACTAACCCTGTATATCATTCAAATCATCTTGGCATGACAAACCAGAATATATATGGTTTAGGGGTGGGGATCTTGACCATTTACAAGATATTAGAACTTTTTCAAATGGCAGGGGGTGGGGGTGACCCCTGGGGACTAACCCTGTATTTCATTTGATGTGCTTTATCATGACAAACCAGAATATATATGGTTTAGGGGTGGGGATCTCAACCATTTACAAGATATTAGAACTTTCTCAAATGGCAGGGGGTCGGGATGACCCCTGGGGACTAACCCTGTATATCATTCAAACCATCTTCGCATGACAAACTAGAATATATATGGTTTAGGGGTGGGGATCTTGACCACTTACAAGATATTAGAACTTTTTTAAATGGCATGGGGTGGGGGTGACCCCTGGGGACTAACCCTGTATTTCATTTGATGTGCTTTATCATGACAAACCAGAATATATATGGTTTAGGGGTGGGGATCTCGACCATTTACAAGATATTAGAACTTTTTCAAATGGCAGGGGGTCGGGATGACCCATGGGGACTAACCCTGTATATCATTCAAACCATCTTCCCATGACAAACCAGAATATATATGGTTAAGGGGTGGGGATCTTGACCACTTACAAGATATTAGAACTTTTTTAAATGGCATGGGGTGGGGGTGACCCCTGGGGACTAACCCTGTATTTCATTTGATGTGCTTTATCATGACAAACCAGAATATATATGGTCTAGGGGTGGGGATCTCGACCATTTACAAGATATTAGAACTTTCTCAAATGGCAGGGGGTTGGGATGACCCCTGGGGACTAACCCTGTATATCATTCAAACCATCTTAGCATGACAAACCAGAATATATATGGTTAAGGGGTGGGGATCTTGACCACTTACAAGATATTAGAACTTTTTTAAATGGCATGGGGTGGGGGTGACCCCTGGGGACTAACCCTGTATTTCATTTGATGTGCTTTATCATGACAAACCAGAATATATATGGTTTAGGGGTGGGGATCTCGACCATTTACAAGATATTAGAACTTTCTCAAATGGCAGGGGGTCGGGATGACCCCTGGGGACTAACCCTGTATATCATTCAAACCATCTTAGCATGACAAACCAAAATATATATGGTTTAGGGGTGGGGATGTCGACCACTTACAAGATATTAGAACTTTTTTAAATGGCAGGGGGTGGGGGTGACCCCTGGGGACTAACCCTGTATTTCATTTAATGGGCTTTATCAAATAGAACATTTTCAATTAAAAAGATTGTGTCTATCACAAACGGTTTTCAATTTATAATCATTTGAAAATTTTTAAAAATAAAATCCCATAGGGTTCTATAGTAAAACCCTCTTTTCTTTTTGCCCCTCAAAGTACCCCTTTATAAACCCCATTGCACAAACAAAACCCTGATTGCACCACTAGACATGTTAGTCTAACATATTGTGAAACCCTAAGTTAATCTGACAAGCGGTTTTGGAGAACGGGTGCGGACAAGTTCAAATTTAAAAGAGGCGGAAGAAGAAGAAGAAGAAGAAGAAGAAGAAGAAGAATAATAATAATAATAAGAACTGAGCAAAAACAATAA